CGACATTTCTAGAAAGTCACCACAAAAACTCAGCCTAGTCTAAATATCAAGTCAAACTAGAAACTTAATGCTCTCTCAGTCCCATTTTGTAAGATATTTTTCCTATTCACTTGATTAACGCAAATCACTTTTAATCTCTTACTTTATATATATAATTTTTATCAAATTTGATTCTAGTTTTTGCGACTTTGTAATGTTTTTAATGTAGTTTCTGAATATGTAATTCTTTTTTTCTAAAAATAATGTGAGTGCGGACAGGGACCCGTTTACTTTATCGTTGGTCAAACATCGTAAATCGTAAAGTGTCTTACAATTCGGGACGAAGGGAGTACATAATATTTTATTTCATACTAAAATAAAACAAGATCATTAGCACTCAAATGAAAAGAAGAACAAGAACTAAATATGACTGATTAGAACAAGAACAAGATCATCAGTCTTACATTGGAAAGTTTTAGATTAGGAAAAGTCATTGGCATTCCTATGCTCACTTTTGAGCCCTTCACTAAAACTCGTGATGTTGTGAATTGTAGCATTTGAAGGAAGATTCGGCGAACAAATATCAAACGGCTCTGCGTGCAACTATCCGATGCGTTACTGATTCACAGAAGTACTACGAAAAGGTAATCAATCAATCAATCAATTAATTTACAAGATAATGTGGAAGCAAGTGATTACATTGTTATGTAATAATAAACAGGTGATTCGTCAAGCATTGGCCAAATCGGGGACGGATGAAGATGCATTGACGCGGGTGATAGTGACGAGGGCGGAGAAGGATTTGAGGGAGATCAAGGAGTTGTATTTCAAGAGAAACAGTGTCACTCTGGAACAGGCTGTTGCCAAAGAGACTTCCGGCCATTATCAGGCTTTTCTCCTCACTCTCCTCGGAAAGCCAGACCAGTGATAGCTGCTACTTTAGCTTGCTTCTCATGAATGAGTGAACGAATGCTTATGGGTCATTTATATATGTTGTGTGTGTGATGCTTTCCGTTTTGAATGAACTTTTCTGGATTTGTTGTTGGTACATTTTCATATGTCTTCAGTTTGTTTTTCAATTTGAGTATGTGTTTCGTGAGTCTTCAGTTAGTTTTGTGTTTTGAAGTCAAACATTAGATTGGTGTTGTTTGTTTTAATTATTTGAGGCAAGTTCAAGTCAGGATAAATGGCAACAAACTGATTCGATCATTGATAACTTGCAAGTCCTGTTTTGTGATAAGTGAGATAGTGACTTTCACAATCTCAACGACTTTCATGATAACAATGTGTAATTTTGATATACCGAATGTTTCGATACCGTAAATGTATATGAGATAAAATATTCACTTATCACAAAATAGCACTTGCCCTTAATCGTACTGAATCACTCTGGCCCTTGTGTAAAAGTGTGTTGGTTAGCCTTGGGCTTTATCTCCTGTGGCCCTAGACAGGTGTGGCGACGTTCGTCGTGTCGGCCTTGTGCCTGGAAGTGTAACTGCTATGGGTTGTGGAGACGTTCATTTCTACCCACAGAGACCCATTGGGCTTGGACGTTCATTCACAGAGGGGTTATATGGGCCGATCCTCTTATTTTGCCATTAACCCAACAATATCCGATACGATATCGAAGTAAATTCAGTGCGGTATCATACTATCGAAATTGTCAGTTTACTTGAACTTTCGGTAAATTCAATATTCTTTGATATGGTAATGTGATATATCAAATTTCCATATTAACCCTTACTCTAAAATTTCTTTCTAAAAAAGTAAAATAAATGTAAGTTCTACATTTAACCGTTTTATAACACTATAATTGATTAATTCAAAAAATATGCTAAATAAAAACTAATTACTCCATATAAAGAATTAATGACAAAAGCAATACTATGGGCTTTACAAATGACAAATATAAGACATGATTTCTGTATGGACAGAAAAGAGAGTAAAAAAAACCGAAGAGACCAAAATGCCCCAAAATCGATTTGCCCACTTCTGTCGCTGAGCATCACACAGTTGGCGGTGTATGCATCGCATGTCTCTCCTTCAAAGAAATCATCGCTTCCGATCTTGATATTGCCGCCGACCGGAAAATCTCAGCCGCCATCATCGTGTGCATCGTAGACCTCTCCATTGCCCCACACCAGATCTTCTTCTTTTTCTTTCTGATGGTGGAGGTGAACGAAATCCAGCTAACATGAGAGCAGGGTTGGGGACAGGGGTTTGGGAAGGCGCAGGGAACGGTGGGGGGAGTGGGGTGAGGCGCGGGGATGAGAGGTGGGGAGGCAGAGGGGGCTGGATCCGGGCTGGGCTAGGTTTGGGGCTAAGGTTGGGTACGAGGCTAGGTTTGGGAAGGGGACTGGGTTTGGGTTTGGGTCTAGGTCTGGGAAGGGGAATGGGCAGGGGCTGGTGGGGCTGTTAGGATGGTAGCTGGGAAGGGGCAGGTGCAAGCGGCGGCGACGGTCACCGGACGATAGGGGTGGGGTCAATGGATGGGGCGGCGGTTAATAGACGTGTTGTGGTAACCGGAAAGGGTGAGGCGGCGGTTAATGTGTAACACCCCGGCCCCGTGCACCCGAGGTAGTTACTCCGGACCAATAGTACTGTCCCCACAAACCACCACGAGCCTTTACCGCGCACTTTGTCCTCACTCATGCGCGCCCTGAGAAACTTCCCAGGGGGTCACCCATCCCAAGACTACTCCCGTGCGAGCACGCTTAACTTTGGAGTTCTTGGGTAATGAGCTCCCTTAAAAGGAGATGCACCTCTGTTGGTATGAGTAGTACTATTAATCCGTTTATATTAAATCTCAAGTGTTACAATCACCCCCACTTAGGATCGCAACGTCCTCGTTGCGCCCTTGAACCAATCTCAAATCTCAATCAAATCCCAGAATCTTCCCCCGCTAAGTGCTTGCCCGATATCCAACGGGTCATCACACTGTCGCGGGGTTGCTCTGATACCACCTGTAACACCCCGGCCCCGTGGACCCGAGGTAGTTACTCCGGACCAATAGTACTGTCCCCACAAACCACCACGAGCCTTTACCGCGCACTTTGTCCTCACTCATGCGCGCCCTGAGAAACTTCCCAGGGGGTCACCCATCCCAAGACTACTCCCGTGCGAGCACGCTTAACTTTGGAGTTCTTGGGTAATGAGCTCCCTTAAAAGGAGATGCACCTCTGTTGGTATGAGTAGTACTATTAATCCGTTTATACTAAATCTCAAGTGTTACATAATGGACTGGCGGTGGTAACTGGAACGGGTGAGGCAATGCTCACTGGATGGCGTGACAGCGTCAGATAGACAACGGTGATGGGTCGAGTTGTATAATTATAGAAATTGGGTTAGGTAAATATAACTGGTTGGTCAGGCAATTGTAACTAGTCGGACGGAAAACTGTAACTAGTCGGGTCTAGTAAATGTAACTACAGATTGGGTAACTGCAACTGGCAACGACGGGCCACTGGTGGATTTTTTGTCACTGACGGATTTTTGGTCACTGACTGAATTTTGTAACTATGTATTTGTCACTCTCAAAGGGAGTAGTCATTGTCACATTTGGTCACTCTAACGAGTTACTGTAACATGTTAATTTGTTTTGGACTTAGTAACTAGTAAGGGTGTTATAGTCCATTTAGTACTCCTTCTGTCCCATAAAATAGTTCCCGCATTGACTTGGATAAGAGTTTAAGAAAGTGAGAATAAAGTGGAAATGTATAGATTTATAATTGTGGTTGAATAAGAAAAAAGTAAATGAGTGAGAGCCACACAAAACTTTCTAAAAAAGGAAATGAGAACTATTTTTTGGGACGATCCAAATAGGAAACCGGAAACTATTTTGCAGGATAGAGGGAGTATATTTTAGTTTCATATTTGGAACTTAGAGAAAAATGTCTCTTTTTATCCAAAACTCTTTGGAAAAGTTCCCGAAATAGGACTAAAAAAGTTTGAAAATTCCAAAATAGAACTGTCATGTTTTTATTCCCAAAATAGGACTAATTATTGCCAAATTTGGAAAATACTGACATGTTTGAAGTCTAGTACTGCCAAAACATGACAGTAAATAGTCTTATTTTGGGAATACAAATATTGAAGTCCTATTTTGAAATTTTCAAACTTTTTTAATCCTATTATGGGTAATAATAGAAACTCTTTTTTTAGTAATAACCCCATAATTACTTAGCCCCACGTACGTATAGGGGTGGGATCGGTCTGGTATGGGTCGGGTTTTTGCTAAACCCGGAAATTACCCGGAAGGTCTCGGGTTATGAAAATTAGGGACCGGAATAAAGCCCATTATATTCGGTCCGAGTCGGGTTTTTGGTAGCCCGGGTTCGGTCCGGGTTCGGGTTGGACCGGTTAAAGCCCGGACGTGAAATATGTCATTGTTCTTTTAGATTTTAACACTTATTTTCAAATAAAATCAATCAAAAATACAAACCACAAATAATAACACAAATATTAGTCTTCAAAATCACCAACAATTCAAATTTAAAGAAGATAATTATCTTAATATTTTATGTAAGATGTACATATATAAATAATATTGGTTTCTTAAAAATATTACGAAATAAATTTTATAAATCAAAAAGTTACTAGAGTTGCTATAAATATATTCTCATGGTCATCATTACGCTAAACAAATTCAACATATTTGTAGTCACTAAAAGTTACTAAATCTTTTTTTATCCACTGTGATTATAATCATATATTAGGAAATATTTTATTTATATTCATATACTATATTAATTTTATAGATTTATTTATATTCATATACTATATTAGGAAAAGTAATTGTTTCGGGTTTTTTCGTTCCGGGCCGGGTTATAGATTTTAAGGCCCGTTAATGAGCCCGGAATTTTCGATTCGGTCCGGGTTTTTTAATTCGGACCGGTTAAAAAGAAAAAACCCGGACCAGGATCATAATTCGGGTCGGTGCATGGTCGGTTTCCGGGTTTCTGTTCGGTTTTTCCCACCCCTACGTACGTACTGCGTGACACGTAATTTCAAGAAACGGGATGGTCAAAGCTAGGAGTGAAAACCGCTATATAGTGGTCAATACCTTCCCATCAGGTTGCAAGATAATGGAGCAATTCAAGATTACGTTACGAGTTCCGAGTAGTAATGGGGAAGAAACATCTGAACCCAACGCAGAAACTGAATCTCAGCTATCACCTTCCATAGCTACCGATCACAATACATCAAAATCTTTGGGAAAAAAAAGGAAAACGGAAAAATGGGTACGCTGAAATTACCAGAAGTGATTCCTTCTCCAACAGAGGACTGCGAAAGGATCATGAAAGCATTTAAAGGTCTCCCTCATATTCTACAGTTTTTGTAATTCTGGGTTCCCATTTTTTCCCCAACTGCGAATAACTTTCATAGGATTAAAATTTAGGGCCTCATAACATTTCTGTTTTCGACAATGTCATTTGTGGAATTGGGTATAAGGACTTAAGGAAGTTCTGTCTTTGTTTAGGACTGGGAACTGATGAGAAAGAAATCATAAGGGTTTTGGGGCATAGAAATGCAAGCCAACGGAAGAAGATAAGAGAAACTTATCAACAGCTTTACGACAAATCCCTGATTGATGATCTCCATTCCGAGTTATCTGGTGATTTCATGGTAAATTCCATCTTTTCTAAACGTTATGTTATACTCCGTAAATAAATTATTCACCCCCCATTCAAGTCCACGTTGGATAAAGAAATACTACGTACAAAGTACTTCCTACATCCCACTAATAGTGGGATATTTAGAAAAGTTGAGTTAGGTACTTGATACTGAATTTGTAAAGTATAAGTAGAATAAGAACGCACTAGAACCACAATATTATTAACATATGGTATATGGTATGAGACAAACTTAAGGAGTGTTTGGGATTGATTAAAAAAAGCACTTTTCAGCTTTTGGCTTAAAAAAAGTTGAAAAGAGTGTTTTCAAATGATAGCTTCTGCTTAAATTAATCACTTAAAAGCTAAAAGATGGAAGCAGATAGAAGGGTGCTTTAAACTGCTTCTCACTTTTTCTATTACACAAAAAGTACTTATTTTACCAAACACTACCAACTTTTACTTTTTCAAAATCACTTTTTTCTCAAACACTATCAACTTTTACTATTAATCACTTTTCCCAAAATCACATTAAAAATCACTTTTTTAAAGTTGAAGCAATCGCAAAAACTAGTGAATAGTTGATTCAACCTCTTAGTAGGTTCAGCCCAAGTACCTTATGCTCTAAGCGAGTAATCTTAATTAAATCTTCAATTTTATGGGAAATGTCATTTGTGGTTTTACATAAAATTATTTTGAGAAAGCAATCAATTTTGGAAAAATAAATGTATTTTGATTCTTAGTCTAAAAGTCGAAGACATTGACATTTCACATTTTTACGAGGATGCTAAACATAAAGGTTTCTTTAACTAATTTTGAGTGATTATTTATAGCCTTAGTGCTTTTTTATTCAAAAGAGTAGAATCCATGATCACAATTTTAAGAATATGAACCATCTTTATATGTGTGTGTATTGCTTTGAAGTTGCATTTGTGATTGTCTAATGACTGGTTAGTTCTCTAATCTTTTTATACTATTGCGCTTAGCTTCGCTGTTTTTACTTTTGAGGTAAATTTCACTGTTCATCTTCTTGTTTAGCTATGAAGTTTTGGATGAGTATGTTTCCAGCTTGTTATGGTGTATAAGTGTTTCTGTTCATGTTATTTGGTAATTCAAAGTAATTGTAAGTATTTAAACCATGCTTCCTTCACAGCTATGTCTGTTTTGAGTAATTGTTTCTCATATCTCATCATGTTAATTGTTAAGGCCTCATAGTTTTATTCTTTCACTTATCTTGAATTGTGAGTAAGCGTTTCATCCTAAAACGCTAATCTGATACAAGTAGTAGTCAAATATCATATTTGATAATGTATATCTTTATATTTGACCGGAATGAGAAACTCTAATTTGTCAACTGGTGAAGCTCAATTGAATGGCGGTTGGGGGGTGTAATGAAGATTAGGAAGGATGTGCATTTGAATTACTCTCTGAGTCAGATAATAATTATGTTGACATACTGATATAAACAGGTACAGCATTCCTTTTTAAAAGATGCAGATGAGGAAATATTGGAAGAGGATTAGCATCTTGACTGCGGATTAAAAATGCTTGTTATAAGTTAATTTATTAAGATTTAAGAGCTTGCTATTCTTCATATTTTCTGCGCATCTTGAGTTCACTTTATGTTGAATGGCAGAAAGCGGTAATTCTATGGACATATGACCCTCCTGAAAGAGATGCACGGCTTGCAAATAAGGCATTAAAGTCAAGGAAGGAAAGCGTAGGAGAATTACAAATAATTGTTGAGATAGCATGTGCATCATCTTCTGACCATCTGGTTGCTGTGAGGCGAGCATACTGCTCTCTTTTTGACTGCTCTCTCGAAGAAGACATCATAGCAAACATCTCTATGCCCTTAAAGAAGGTAAGCCTTTCTTTGGTTGGGGGATTTGAGACAGTATTGAAGGAGAGGAATGACTTCTTTTTATTTATTCTTACTTTACATTAGACATTTTGAATGAAAAGGAATATGAAAAATTATGTAGAAGTACATGCTGTAACTAATCATATTTAAAGTAACTCTTTTGTAGTCTAAGATTAACATATAGAGACGCACAAATCTAATGAAAACCAATCCTCCCTTCCCTAATCAAAAGAATACCCCAACCAAACAAGCTCTAAGTGTGTACTCGTAGTTATGTTGCTCACTTATGCACTCAATCTTATTTGAAAATAATTCCATCCTTCAAAAGTTTGATATATTAAGACTTGAGATTCCATTCTAAAAAGTGGAGTACTAACATAAAGTCTTACGTATGACTTTGTGTTTTCAAATTTTGCGAGTGCAAGATGGCTTAATCGTATACTCTTCTCGCAATTTTTTTTTTTGTGTATTTATTTTTTGATAGAATGAGTTGCGTTTATTTAGATTACTATTGGTGAAAGACTAGGATAATTTCCCTGACATGCCCTGCCTATGTTGTACAGGTTCTGGTTGGTTTGGTAAGTTCCTACAGGTATGACAAAAAGGTAGTGGATACAACCATCGCCAACCTAGAGGCTGCTAAGCTTCATGAAGCCATCCAAACGCGACAACTGCACAGTGATGATGTAATATACATTCTCAGTACTAGGAATCTTGGTCAGCTAAGGGCATCTTTTGAGCGCTACAAACAAGACTATGGATATTCTATTGATCAGGTTATCTTTTTAACCACAAACTTATTTCATGATTTTTTCCCCTTCAATCTCAAAGTCTATTGTATCCTGTGCTTTCATTCTTATCTGACTTTGGCACTTTGCAGCATATCACAAGTTGTGGCAAAGGCCTTTTGGAATCTATCATGAAGGTAGTCATCTTGTGCATTGACTCCCCAGAGAAACATTTTGCTGAGGTAATAAAAAATCTGGCAACTTGTATTCATATCATATCTATACACTTTCTGCATTTCTCTTATATTTAAATATTTGAATCTAAGGTGTTCTTGAATCTAGTCTCCTAGTCTAAACTCCTATTTTTTAATCTACTACTTGCCTCCCCCCTCCAAATAATTGCTTTACCAAGGTAGAACTTTTTCCTTGTAGCAAAGCTCTAGTTGAACTGTCCAAGTGTAAAATGAATGAAAGTTATATTCTTTTGTTCATACACAACTGTTTTCTAGGAGGGGAAGTAAAAGTTCAAACAGGGCTTAATTTTTAGGACAGATGGAGAATTTGGTTGAATCTTACCCGTTTTGTTCAACTAAAGAGTAGAATTCTCTGGTAGTTTTTAAACGTTTTCCCCTGGGCAGATATAGCTCATTTATGGCCAACTCAAACTGACTTGATCTTTTATCATATTCCAGGTTGTGAGAACCTCGGTCATTGGGCTTGGAACTGATGAGGATGCTCTAACTAGAGCGATTGTAACTCGGGCTGAAATTGATATGGTGAAAGTTAGAGGAGAATATAACAAGATGAACTCCTCCAGTCTGGATCAAGCAGTTGCAGATGACACATCAGGCGATTACAGAGATTTTTTGATGACTCTCCTTGGGCTTGGAATCTAGTTTTCTGCAACCCAACTTAGGGGCTGTTTACTTTTTCTCTCATTAAGTCCTGAATGGATTAAGACGTTTGTTTGTATTAAGATGTCTGTCTGGATTAAGTGACACTAAGATAACAAGTTGTTTACTATGTGTGATGAATGAGAAGTCTGAATTACATGGAATGACCAAATAACCCTTTTATTAGAACCTCATAATATAAAATTGAGGAAATGGAAGTATTTACCAAATGGAAAACTTCATAGCTTTCTTTTAAAAAAAATAAAATGTAATGTATTAGACATCAAATTATATCTTTAGTTCATAACTTCATATATCAAGCAAAAAATGAGAATAAACACTTCAAATTGCCATTTCAGACTCAAAAACATTTCAAATCGGAACACCAAATTTACAACTCCTAAATCTAACACGTATACCATGGGACGAATTGGGATTGGGTAGTCATATTCTTCAGGGAAGATGTAGTTTCATGTTTGAGGCCTCACTTCACCCAAGCCAGCTCCCTCTCTAGTGAATTGGTACTAATAGATCTCTGTTATTGCAGCCTCAAGAGCTCAATTTTCTCCCAGCGAAGAAAACAACAAATAAAAAATGACGATGAAAGGAACAATTTTTTTTTGTAGAAGAACCCATCGTATTGCAGCACTCGTCATTTTTGCATTCTTCTCACTTCTCCCTCAATTGTATATTTTCAAAACAATTTGGGAAGCAAACAACTCAGCTCTCTCACGTCAACATATGATTGATTATATGAACGACCTCAATTTGTTGTAAGAAGCTTCCACCCCAGGTCGAAGCCTTCCTTTATCTGCGAAGGAGTATAGACTGTAGAGGCTCCAGATCTTTCTTCACTGCTGAGCACTGATCGATCGGTTTTATGGAGGCTGATGATGTCGGCAGTTTGATATATATACCTTGGAGAACCACGATAAGATATCATGAAGGAGAAGTGCGTTGAGGGTTAAGAACGAGAATCTCATAACACAAATAGGTCTGAAACGTAAGGAGTATTAAAAGTTGGCCGAGCGATTAAGTCACAAAAGGTCTGACCGAATAAGTCATACTTAACATTAAGTCACAAGTAAACACACATATAACTAAACGAATAAGTCATGGTTTCAGTTCAGTCCATTAAGTCCTATGTAAACAGGGCCTTACCATTCCCTATGCTTTCTTCCCTTTGCAGATGGTAGTGTTTTTAAAAAATATGAATGCTAGTTGATTCTCATATATCTCTTTTACTTTTGCTCATTTCGTAATGCATCACAACATTTTATTGTTTCAAAATACATACAGCCCAGAGAATATTCTTTACGAATATTCTCCCAAATAAATGAATAAGTAAGCCTCCTTAAACAGTACCGGTGGAGTTTGGTTAGCAGTTTCAAGTTTTGCTAGGGGTACACAAAATGTGTACATAAAATGTGTACACATGTCTGTCCTTCACAAAAATTTTGCCTTTACTCAACACAAAATGAGTTGTCGACAAAATTTCTGTGAATGACAGAGATGTGTACACATTTTGTGTACCTCAATCATTTTCCAGCAGTTTCATTATTCCTTGGTTAATTTTCAAAGTGCTTTTGCCTTTACTCAACTGCCTCAAAACAAGTATGCGAATTTACCTTTGAGATTTTATGTCCAATCTGTCACATATTCTTTACCTATTATGGTAATATATCCACGAATAAATTCCACTTTGTTCCTATGAATACTATGGATTTTGTTTTTTTGCTAATATAAGTTCTTTCAATCAATCATCAATCATTATTTACCCTAGTGCCGCAAAGGCTCCCACCTACGGTGGGGTAGGGGGATTGGATGTACGCAGTCCAAAAGAAATTGTTTCTGGATGATCATAATGAAAATCGCGTCCAAAATTGCATTGACTGACTGCTGCTTCATAACAAAAAAGAGCAGACAGTTTGGTGAGCCATTTTGTTTTATTCCATCATGTTCTCAAGCCAAAAAATAATGAATCTTTGGCTCCATTGCAAATGATGGAAATAATAATCGTTGAAAAGTTGGTGAAAGACATTATTAGCAAAAATGGTTAAAAATCTCATAAAGATCACAAATGATCAAAAAATAAATATTAAAAGTCGTTAAAGTGAAAGAGAAGAATTAAAGGTGAGTACCGTGAGCATAAAAAAAATTAGTCAAATGTTAAAAGTCATTAAAGTGAAAGAGAAGAATTAAAGGTGAGTACCGTGAGCACGGTATTCCTCTTGTACCATTTGTCATTATGATTTACCCACACCCATGCACTACACATTGATTTGGGATGTAAAATGGCGATTTTTAATAATGGAAAAATAATTCTCAGTTTCTATTGTCGAGTCTATATTTAATTAGTAGATGAAATCATGAAATCATAATAACCTATCGTATGATATTTAAACTGCTTATAAAGTTATAAGGGAAAAAGGGCAAATAAGCCCTCGAACTATCCAAAAAAGTGCAAATAAGCCCTATATAGGAGGTTCTGTCCGGCCGTCACCATTTGGGGAGGTTCCCGGTGGAATTTTTAGATGAAATTTTTTGATCATCTTCTCCATTAAATCTAGTTTAGCCATACCAAATTTCAGCTAAAAATTCAATCGGGAAGGCAGTCAAATGAATTTTTTAAGATAACTGCGCAGTTAAACAACGCAATATATTTCAAAAAATCATTTTGACTACCTTCTCGGTTGAATTTTTAGCTGAAATTCGGTATGGCTAAACTAGACTTAATGAAGAATATGCTCAAAAACTTTCATCAAAAAATTCCACCGGAAACCACCCCAAATGACGAATGCCGGACAGAGCCTCCTATATAAGGGCCTATTTGCACTTTTTTGGTTAGTTCGAGGGCTTATTTGCCCCTTTTCCCAAAGTTATAATACCTAAACATTTAAAAATTATACTGCAGAATATATAACAACATTGAATATATTGAATATGGGAGTGTCATTGTTGCATTCTACCCTCAATTAACTGTTAAGCCTATCCACCACTAAAACCTCAATTAAAGTAAAGATATTTTAACTCATTATTCAGAATAACATCATAAATTATGTTTATTTCAAGATTTTCTAGGCAACGCTCTCAAAAGTAATCATTTATCACAATCATCACCTGTAAATTTCCCAGAAGGAAAGAGAAAACAGAAACTAAAATTAGCTCTGGCTAAGTAAGATTTCACACATAATATAATATAATATGTAGAAAATATATACTTAATATATATGTAGAGTATATATTAACATATCATACTTTGAGTATTATATTTCAAATAATTGTCATAATAACGAATAAGGCGTTCAAAAATAACCTGATGTGTTATATATATTTTGACGCAATATTTTTTAATAATTTATTTAACTTACTTCTCAATTGACTTTTAATCTAAAATTTTGTAAATGTAATCTACACCTTAGGTCTGGGATCGGTTCGGTTCTTGTTAAAATTCGATGGAACTCTATTAAAAATTATAGGCGTTAAATACGGTTCGGTTCTTGTTAAAAATGTAATTGTTAACTTCAGTTCGGTTCTAATTAAATTCGGTTCGGTTCTTACTTTTTTCGATTCTTTATAAAAATTTATTATCCTCCTAAAATGAACACATTTTTCCTTCAGTTACGTAAACAAATTGAAATTTCAAATCATGAAATTATTACGATTACAATACATACATGATATCCCAAATTCACAATGTTCAAATATCACAAAAATATCCAAGTGCAAACATTACTAACTTTGAGAGTATAACTAGCTTATAAAAGTTATTATAGTGTTGTTACTACTATTATTACTATTAACATTATCTCTATTATTAATCGAATATATTTGATTATTCGTATTGATATTCGTATTTTTATTTGAATCAAATGTATTGATATTCGTATTTTTATATTCGTATTTTTATTTGATAACAATTTGAATCAAATTTAGTATTCTTAATTGTATTTGTATTTGATTTTTTCGAATTCGAATCACGAACAAACATAAACTATTTGATTTATATACAACCCTAATCTCAATGTTTTAATATCACAAAAATATCCAAGTGCAAACATTAAATTTAAACATAACAAAAACATAAAGGTTTAAAGTAAGCATCAACTGTCAAGCAAAAATGTTCAATAGCTCCAAGGTACATATCTAATAGCAGGTAATCACTACAAGAAAAGTGCACATAGACCGCACATAGACCGATATTTTTTTTGCGATGGCCGCATAACTGTCGTTAAAAACACTATTAACCACACATTTTTTTATTTACCACACACAAAACTGTGGTAAAAGCTTAGAGACGACAGTTTTTAACCGTGGCTAATGTTCTTACCACAGCTGTTGTGCTAACGCACCTAAAACTGTCGCAAAACTGTCGTAAATGTTCCTCCTTATATTTTTACAACAGTTTTGCGACAGTTTTAGGTGTGTCGGCACAACAGCTGTGGTAAAAACATTGGCCACGGTTAAAAACTGTCGTCTCTAAGCATTTACCACATTTTTGTGTGTGGTAAATAAAAAAAAATGCGTGGTTAATGGTGTTTTTAACGACAGTTATGCTGCCATCGCAAAACAAATGTGGTCCATGTGCAGTCTATGTGCACTTTTCTTGTAGTGAGTTCAACCCCAAAATAATATTTTCCTAGCTACCTGTAATACACCATAAGTAAAAAGTACAGTACATAGTAATAAACTGACTAGTAATATTAGTAATTTACTATGAACAAATAACAACGTAATCAGCAGAGAATATTAATTCACTTTTTAGGTGAACTCAAATAAAAAATACTACAGTAGTACAATTACAAAAAAATAAAAAATCTAAAGGTGGACTAAAGTGGTAAAATAACAATTACTCGGATTAGATTGGTCCACAATATATAAGGTATATTATGCAAGCCAAATATTCCTTACAATATTTTTTTGCCCGGAACGTCGTTTGGCCACCTCCATTTGAGGTGCTTCCGGGTAGAATTTTGTGATGCGTTTTTGTGATCATGTTCTACATGAATTATAGATTATATCCACAACATTTCATCTTGAAATTCAACCGGGAAGGTAAATAAAATATTGAAAAATATTGTCTCTTTTACATATATTTTGACGTAGTGTTTTTCAATAAATTATTGAACTAACTTCCCGATTGATTTTTAAACTCAAATTTGGTGGACATA